GATGGGTATAATTTCATTGTTGTATGGTACATACATGATGGGTATAATTTCATGGCTGCTCTGACAGTAGCATCTGATGAGTACAAATAGTTGCGCTCGTCTAATAGCACTTTACATTTACCCCTATAATTAAACAATTGTTTGGATCAGGGAAGTGGATAGAAGATGTATAATTTATATTTCTGTACAGCCATACCCTATTCCGGTTATGAAATTTGTTGTCCTTAGCATTATAGTAGTTGTTAATTTTGAACCCAGGTAAAACATATGTAGGCATTGATGCGTACAGTTCTATACAGTTGATAGTACTCGGCTCTCTGTTGGCGATTGTGTAGATTAGGCAGCACATCTGTGACTGCTGTAAATATCGCTTTTTTTACATTTAGCATAGAGTATATCGACGAAAGATGACCTCTATTCTCGACTCCCACTTAATCAGGTTGAAATTCCTCGGTACGATGTGTGTAGGAAGTTGTTTTATATACTGGGTACATGTTTGGGTGTTCAAAGCTGGATACATAATTAATGTAGGTGGCCGTAGTGGAAGCCAAGGTTAGTATCTAATATATACATACATATACAATTGTTATACTGAGGTCAACAAGGCAGACAGGAGGTGAACATTTTTGCGAGATCCCACATGGTGGGCCATGATACCAAAAATAATAGAATATACTACTGGATTTATGAGAGCCACATCTAGACTGGCTTATTGAACTGTCCACGTAAACCTCTTCTCCAAATTGCGGTTGGTGCATATTCTGATTTAGACAGATTATCTAAATTATTATACATGTATTTGTTATATTCACATATTTAGGTATTTTATTTTATAATTTGTTTACACCACAATTAAAATATGACCGATTATAGGAAACGTTTACTATGGAATGTCCTAAACAGGCGCTATATTCTTTCAATCATTGTTTTGTCTGTTCACAAACCAACAATGGACGATCGTGTTTCATGTTAGGCAGCTGTCTCGTATGTAATCCCTATGTATACGATAGAAATTCCGGCGGGAAATAAACAGAGGCAAAATAGAGGCGACAACTGTTCAACAGCTGCCTTCCTTTGTAAATTAATTTGGATTTAAGTTGGGCACAGTAAGTAGGAAAAATTATATTAAAATAAAAATACAAAGTATATTTTTTATTGACCCCCTCCTGTATTTTGCCACTGACCTTCGCCGCCTAATTACGAAATGGAATGCTCCGCTTATCAATAACCTTCATAAATGATATGAGGTTATTACAGGATACCGAAATATATACACGAAGACAGTACAGTGGGAGTATCGACTGATGCGCAGTGGAAATCGATGCGACCGCGTAATGTTTATTCGTACACAAAAATAGCAGAATAAAAATCTTCGGTTCCGTTAATTACATATTTCATAATAACTTGTTTTTTTCTCTTTCAGAAGTACTTATATTTTCTAAAGGGATGTTAGGATACAACACAGCTAGGTAAGTCGCTTTCTTTATTCACTTCTTGATTTACGGTCAGGAACATTAAACGATACTATTTCTTGTTTATATAGAACACTTACTCACAACCACTGCCACTATAGATATTTGCCTTTTGGGTAAGCGCCATAGAGGATGCTCCAATTAAGGTCGCCGTCTTTTATTGTGATTGGAGTGATGTAGCATCTTTAAAGACGTGTTTGATGTCGGGAGAAAGTGAGAGTAAAATGTGCCATATTGTACTCACTGTGAGTTGTAGTTGGGAAAATACTGTGACATGAATTTGTAAATTTCATCCTTCTCAAATTTGTAAAGGGGAATATTTGTCACCGTGTCTATAGCACAACTCAATATATTAGTACAGGAACCTAGTGTCGCCCCTACCAGAATAAATTCAGGAAAAGTTAATGGAAATTAATAATAATCCGTTTAGTTGGACAAGTACACGTGCAAGTATGAAGAATTTTGAACGCAATTAGTAAGTTGATTACTATTGTGCGCCCTATATATATATTTTTCGGTCGGCGCTTTTTTTTTAAAACATTGTATTTTTGGCTAATGCAGCAATGCATATAGTAATAGTGTGAGAATTTACGCGTTTGCAAACGAGCCGAAGGTGTGACATTAGTAGACGAAAGCCGTAAAATCAGAATACAAAAGTTGGGATGGACATTCTCTCTATACCGTCATACCACAGATTCGCCGAACAACTGTCCTCATTTATAAAAGTACAACAGGGATTTAAAGACAAGTGCCGAAAATTAAACCTGGCACAGTACTAACACTTTTAAAAAGCCAGATTCCGGACTAGGCCATGATTACCGCGTCAAACGTCAGGTAAGTGTTTCAAATGATTTATGAGTCTGTATAACGTGATGTAGAGACCATATAGTTATGTAAGAGATCGCAATGCCGTTACGGGAAAACCGAAGCGTAGGTCATAAAGGAAATTACGCAGGATTCTTACGTTGGTAATTGTTTATTGTCGCTGTCTAGAGATGCTGAATTGTTCGAGTTACGGACATCGAGTTACAAAAATGACCACACCCATATTTCTGAAATCACGCCCTTTTTTGCGAAACCACCCCGAAATTGTTACTCGATGTTCAATTATCAGTTAACCGAACTTCGAGTTACGAGCAACATAGTTTTTTTGTTTGTTTAACGTTGTGTGTTTCCTGTAATTCTTTCTCTGTTACTAAATATGTTTTCGTATCTCGATGTCCGTAACTCGAACGATCTGTAGAATAAAGACTTAATACTTCTGTCGTGATCTATCCTTGCAATTTGATCTGCGTAAGTGAACTGTCAGTTATTACAAGTATTTTTTAATGTGATGTCGTAATTATGACAATCGCGCTAATTTAAATTTTTTGCTATATTTCGCTGTCAATCATTTTGATAAACTTGGAAAACATCGACATAGACATCATGATGGTGGAAAGTTCCATG